CCCTGGGAGGCAGGTTCCCCTGGGCTGGGATCTCACAATGCCAGGGGTGCTTGTGGTAGCACGTCCCTTGTCCTGGGTTAATGCCGGGCTGCCCAAAGCGCGGGTGCAGGAGGGCAGAGGAGCATTACGTGGTGGGACGGTCCCACTGCTCTAGACCCCCGCCCCCCCCCAGGGCCTTTGGCTGCCAGTAGGTGGGAAGAACCAGCCCTGCTGCTCCCCACCTCGCTCCAAAGGCAGGCGGCTGGAGTGCCTCGGAGGAGGAACAGGGCTGTGGCTGGCAGGGCCTGGCCCTCCTGGGGGCGTGGGGGAGGGGGAGATGGTACCCTGGTGGGGGTGGGGCGAGATGGTACTTGCCGGGGGGGCAGGGCCTGGTCCCCACTGGGGTGACCAGCTGGAAGCAGCTTAGCACGGAGTTCCCAGGGCGTTGGGGCTGCCCGGAGCCCATCGTTTAGCTCCAGTCTGTGCACGCCAGCCTGCCAGTGTGGGGCCGTGTCCTGCTCGTCCATCCCAGCCCCCAAGGCGCTTCCCCGGCTCGCTGCTCTCCAGGCTGCCCAGGGGCTCGGAGCGCCATTTTGTGGTGTCTCCCCCTCCTCTTTCAGCAGATAAACCAGCAGCTGGTTTCCCAGCAGCCCCCGCTCTGAGCGCGCCCAGCATTGCTCTAAAATACCACGAGGAACTGAGCACGGCTGAGTAAACAGAGGGTGGAGAAAAACCTCAGCCGAGCGTCTGCCTTGAACTCCCAGCCCACAGCCCTAACTGCACGGCCGGGCGCTGCTTCCTGGGAGCTGGAGGGGGACAGGCCCTCGCCCTGGGGCCTGCACGCCTGTCGTCTGTGCTGAAAGCCCCTGTCCTAGGCCACTCCGTCTGCATCACTCAGCAGCCAGGGGGCCAAGGCCTGAATCTCTTCTCTCTGTGCCCATTGCTAGCTGGGCTGAGCGCGTGAGCTTGGACAGTTTGGGCTGGTGTCTGGCCAGGGGCTGGTGGGCACCCCGCCTGCCCCAGAGATCAGCACTACCCTCTAGGGCTCTGGCATAGGGGTGCCAGGCGTCTGGTTTTTGACCGGAACACTTGGTCAGAAAGGGGCCAGGCGGCTCTGGTCAGCGGGGCTAAGGCAGGCTCCCTGTCCGGCTCCCTGGGGCTCCCAGGAAGCAGCCGGCATGTTCCTCTGGCTCCTAGACACACGGGGGCCCAGCACGCTGTCCCGGCCTGAGCGCCAGCTCTGCAGCTCCCATTGGTCAGGAACCACCCCTGAACCCCCTCCTGCATTCTGAACCCCTTGCCCCCAACCTCTTTACCCCCCCAAGTAAACACCCTGAATCCCTTTAACCAGCCTGCTTCAACCTGAACCCCTTTTTTCTAGCCCCACCCCAGAGCCCGCATCCCCAGCCCAGAACCCATACTCAGAACCCCTCGGACCCAGCCTGGAGCTCCCTCCTGTATCCCAAATCCCTCATCCCTGCCCCTACCCCAGAGCCCACACCCCCAGGCAGAGCCCTCACCCCCTCCTGCACCCCAACTCCCAGCCCGGTGGAAATGACCAAGTGAGTGAGGGTGGGAGAGCATGATGGAGGACGGAGTGAATGGGGGTGTGGCCTCAGTGAAGGGGTGGGGCAAGGGTGTCCAATTTTCTGCAAATAGACAGTTGGCAACTCTAGTCTCTCCTGAGCGGGGAGAGACACACACACACCCCGCCTGCCAGGCCCAGGCCCAGGCAGGGAGAATGACTGGCCGGCTCCCCTGTGGCCCACCCCCCAGCAGACACAAGATCCTGCCTGGGCTGGGCTTTTTCAGGGCTAGTGCTGGGAACCGCTTGGGGAGGTGGGGCTGGGACTGGGCTGGGACCCACCGGCGGCACAGGGATGAGGCTGGACAGTGGGGCCGTGGCCCCCAGGAGAGTCTGAGCCCCGCTTGCTGAACTGGACAGGTGGGTGCTCCCCGCTGGCACCTCGCCCGCTGGGGCGCACTGCCCACTGCCCGTTCCTGCTGCCCTCTGAGGCCCAGAACTCGGGGGGGTAAAGAGGCTCTCTGGACGCTCAGGGGGTTGAAGCAGGCAGTTAAAGGCGATTGGGGCGCAGTTTAAGCCAAACCAAGCAAAGTCTGAGCTTCCACATGGGTTTGCGCCAAATTAACCACCTTGCTTCAGATGGGTTTGTTCCACTAGCACGACTTGCAGACAAGGCCTTGGTCTCCCCCAGGCCTCCCTCCCTCATTGCAACTTGAGACCATTGCTCCTTGTTCTGTCATCTGCTACCACTGAGAACAGTCTAGATCAGGGGTAGGCAACCTATGGCCGAAGATGGCACGCAAGCTGATTTTTCAGGGGCACTCACACTGCCTGGGTCCTGGCCACCGGTCCAGGGGGCTCTGCATTTTAATTTCATTTTTTAAATTAAGCTTCTTAAATGTTTTAAAAACCTTATTTACTTTACATACAACAATAGTTTAGTTATATATTATAGACTTATAGAAAGAGACCTTCTAAAAATGTTAAAATGTATTACTGGCACGCGAAACCTTAAATCAGAGTGAATAAATGAAGACTCGGCACACCACTTCTGAAAGGTTGCCGACCCCTGGTCTAGATCCATCCTCTTTGGAATCCCCTTTCAGGTAGTTGAAAGCAGCTATCAAATCCCCCCTCACTCTTCTCTTCTGCAGACTAAACAATCCCAGTTCCCTCAGCCTCTCCTCATAAATCATGTGCTCCAGCCCCCTAATCATTTTTGTTGCCCTCCGCTGGACTCTTTCCAATTTTTCCACATCCTTCTTGTAGTGTGGGGCCCAAAACTGGACACAGTACTCCAGAGGGGGCCTCACCAATGCCGAAAAGAGGTGAATGATCATGTCCCTCGATCTGCTGGCAATGCCCCTACTTATACAGCCCAAAATGCAGTTAGCCTTCTTGGCAACAAGGGCACACTGTTGACTCATATCCAGCTTCTCGTCCACTGTAGCCCCTAGGTCCTTTTCTGCAGAACTGCTACCTAGCCATTCGGTCCCTAGTCTGTAGCAGTGCATGGGATTCTTCCGTCCTAAGTGCAGGACTCTGCACTTGTCCTTGTTGAACCTTATCAGGTTTCTTTTGGCCCAATCCTCTAATTTATCTAGGACCCTCTGTGTCCTATCCCTGCCCTCCAGCGTATCTACCACTCCTCCCAGTTTAGTGTCAGTGACAGGTTTGGAAAGTGGGACTACGCTCTGAGCAGTCATACTGCTCTCTTACATACAATGCAACTCCCCCACCTTTTCTGCCCTGCCTGTCCTTCCTGAACAGTTTATATCCATCCATGACAGTACTCCAGTCATGTGAGTTATCCCACCAAGTCTCTTTTATTCCAATCATATCATAATTCCTTGACAGTGCCAGGACTTCCAGTTCTCCCTGCTGGTCTCGGGGGGGGGAGGCGGGGGGGCGGGGGTGTGTGTGTGGTCAAAGGCACGCGTAGTCCCACTTTCCAAAGCTGTCACAAGCATTCAGCGACTGTGGGGCTGGGCCACGTGCTGCCAGCAATGTCGCTCCTTCGCAGCTTTGCAGCAGTGGGGGGGTACCCAGGTCTGGTGCCCCTTTAGCAATGGATGCTGCAGCTCAGCGTGTCTAACCTGCCTGGCTGTGCCCAGCCTCCAGCCGGGACCATTGGCTCATCTCATCTCCATGCCGGCAGAGCCCAGGCTGTTGTACTTAAAGTACTGCACAGGATCTTTTCAGGGGGAATAAGGCAAAACGCCACATTTATTAGTAATAC